CAAAGACAAATTCCTTGCTATTGTGTCACCACAAAAAGTCCCTTCTACTTAAAGCACAGCTTTATGCAAACATCAGTGAGGGTGAGTGGAACAGGCACTCATGTGGGGAACAGAAAAGGGATCTTCTGTACTGCCACTGACTAGCCTGAAGCTCTTTGACTTCTGGGGCGAGGAACTGGCAGGACAAGGTACTGGGGGACACTGACACTGAGGTGTGGCTGCAGAGCAACAAACCTTTGCTGTGTCCAGGCTGTCAGGTCTGCTAGCGCTCCAGGACTGATGTCACAGGGAGAAGAAAAGTCCACTTTCTGTCCTCAACAAATGAAGGGGAGATGATGGCGCCAGTATGGGGACAGATCACCCTGTAAAGATAGAAAGTAATGGATGGATGGATAGAGAGAGCCAAAGGGCTCGGTGTAGGCTATGTTAGCTATAGACAGTAAAAGCTTGCTGTTGGTATTTAGAACGAAAATATACAAAAGCTATGCCTGTAGTAGCTATCAGACGCTTCTCAGATGACACCTGGTGGACAAAAGCTAAAAAGATGAAAGCAGCCTGCCTTCTCAGTGCAGAACTGTACCATCCGTGCTCATTCCTGCACTTACTGCTGATGTACCTGCCAGCTGCCCTCCCTACCCTGCTCCCCTGCTCCCAGAGAGCATTATTACACTGCCTCAGAATAAGCACATATCATCCATGTACCTGTAATAGCTTTTTTTTTTTTATCTGCTTACATTTTTTTTTCATATTCTGGCTGATGCCCTGAGTTGGTTTAATTCTGACCTGTGAGTCTTAGGCTAGACTAGAGTGGAAACACTGTTTTCACAAACAAAAATACAAGCAAAGCCCATGTTGTTAGCAGCAACTGGGTGCTTTTTTAGTCTAAGATACTGACCTGGTTTCAGCTGGGATAGAGTTAATTTTCCTCCCAGTAGCTGCTGTGTTTTGGATTTAGTATGAGAAGAATGTCATTAACAGTCATGTTTTCAGTTGTTGCTATGAAATCAAGGACTTTTTTTCCAGTTTCCCATGTTCAGCAGCTGAGCAGGAGCTGGGAGCGAGCACGGCCAGGCAGCAAGCCCAAGCTGGCCAGTGGAAATATTCCACATCACGGACCACGCTCATTTTATAAATGGGGGTTGGCCAGGGGGGCAGGAATCTTCTGTTTTCCGCGAGTTTGAATCCCTTCTTTCTCGGCAGTTTGAACTTTTCTGGGAGTTACATCTTTTTCAGGAGTTTCAAGAAATTTGTGAAATCCGTGAGTTCCAGGTTTTGTGACTGCTGCTCAGGGACTGACTGCGAATCGGTTATCAGGTGGTGAGAAAATTGTAGTGTGTATAATTTCTTTTGCATATTCATTATTATTAGTAGTAGTAGTAGTAGTATTTCCTTTCTTTCCATAATAAACTGTCTTTGTCTCAACCCAGGAGTTTCTCCTTTTGCCCATTTCTCCTCCCACTGGGGGGACAGGGGAGGGGTGAGCGAGCGGCTGTTGCCAGCTGCTGGTTTAAACCACCACAGATACCTAGACAAGTCTATGAATGCCTTCATAGTGGATAGTTGTACCCATAGGGTTAAAGGCTTTGATTTCTTCTGATTATTAATTTACACTTTTTCTTTTAAAGTTTAAAAAAAACTGCTCCGAGTTCACCTGGAAGGAAACATCTACTTGGGGAATTCTTTCTTGTGGGAATCTGCATCCAACCAGTGGATGATTATGCCTTCTGGTAAGATAGGCGGATTTCCTCAGGGATCTTGTGGATGTGAATACAACATTACTTTGTGGTCCTTTTTCTCTGTCTGGCTTGAAGGATTTCAGGAAAATGAGAGATGTTGCTGAACAACCACTGTGACAGACGGGGCCTCTTCCATAAAGAAAAGTGGCTGTGATCAATTTTGATTGTTGCCATTGCATCTTTCAGGTTAACAGCTCCTTTTTCTGTTATTTGGGCTTTGTTGCTCTATGTATACCCAATTCCTTTAAATTTTAACAGCTTTAATTCTCCTTTGTGTATTTCCATACTGTATTTTTGTGCAAAATCTTGAAAGCTTTTATGAAGACAAACACACAGAGAAGTCAGGGATTTGCTGACTTCAAACACCAAACTGAGATGAGAAACAGGGAGTATGGAAGAGGTCAAGATACAATTATGCTATGTAAGTGTCTAGCTCGTTTCTTCTGGGTCTAGATTACCTGTTTAAAAAAAGTGGACAGAGGCCACCCAAGAGTCGTGGCATTGTATTTGGTCTGGCTAGGACACAGTTAACAGTCCCCACTGCAGTCCCCATAGTGCTGCGCTTTGTGTTCATAGCTAGAAGGGTGTTGATACCACTCCAGCATCCGGGCCACTGCTGAGCAGTGGTGGCACAGCACCAGGGCTGTCTCTCCAACAGCCCCTCGAAGGCCAGTGGGCTGGGGGTGGGCAAGAGGCTGGGAGGGGACACAGCTGGGACAGCTGACCCAAACTGACCAAAGGGATATTCCGTACCATATGGGATCATGCTCAGCAACAAAAAACTGAGAACGAGGGGGAGCGTTCGTTATTAAGGTGTTTGCCTTCTAAAGGAATCGCTATACGTTCTGGGACATTACTTCACAGGAAGTGGCTGGACATCACATGCTGATGGGACGTAGAGAAGAAATCTTTTGTTTTCCTTTGCTTCTGAGCATGGCCTTTCCTTTTACTCATTAAACTGCCTTTATCTTGACCCTTCAGTTTTTCATCTTATTTTCTTCCGCTGTCCTGCTGAGGAGGGTGAGTGACAGAGCTTGGTGGGCACCTGGTGGCCAGCCAAGGCCACCCCACCACAGCCATATCCTGGCTTAGATGAGTCCTGCTCCACAGAAAGAATGAAGTAACATCCTGGCCCAGATGAAAGCCGGGGTTCATCTTTATACCAGCATCACAACTCCATGCCTGACCTCTCTGGCACTTAGAGCCAGAACTAGCCAAGCCTAGCTCTGCTCCAGTGCCTGAAATACCTCTGCACATAGTTTCCAGGACACCTTTGTAAAGTCCTCAGTATTCTGAGTAACTCATGAGTGAAGTGTGTGGCAAACAATAATACAGACTGACCATCCAGAAGGTGGTGAACTACTGAACAGCATCTGAATTACACCATGACCAGAGCCACCTTGCTAAAATGCTTGCTGTGGAGCAATCCCTGACCAGTTATCAGTTTGTTGATCCTAATAACAGAAGCCTTGGAAGGGCTGACAGTCACCAAAGGAAAGCAACTACAAACATGTTCTAGAAAGCAAACTTTCTTCTCTTACATCCAATAGTGAAGGACAACACAAAGAAGACTTTGAAATACTGCTGTGGAGAGAACACTTTTACAAGCCATTTCAGGTAGCAATCTGTGAGAACAATCCTCCTTAATTTATGCTGATGACTATTTTCAGGTTTTGAAATGTTCTCCTATACTTGTTAATTCCTATTCAGCAAATACAAAGAAATCAAATGTAAGTGCAGTCATAAAATATAAAGAGAAAAATGTATCAGGGAAGTGCCCTTAAAAACATCAATTAGGCAATAAAATGTCTTCAGCTTAGGCCATTTGGTTAGCATCTGTGAACACTTGTGTTCTGCAGCTGGGAAAACACCAGTTTGTAAAATCTCTTTAGCTAGCAAAGCCACTGCATGAATAGATTATTTCTGTTCTGCAGAAATGTTAAGTGGCAACTCATTAAAAGTTTGATTGGTATATGTGAGTGAAAAACACGATCTTCAGAGTCCCCAAAATGTATTATATAATGTGAAACTCTTTATTTTCTGTCAGGATGATGAGGACATGCTCCAGCCTCCCTGCAGGAAGCAATCAACACAAGGCCTTAAACCCCAAAACAAATGAAACCAGAGCCGGTAACAAGCCTGCTCCGCAGGCTGAGA